CGAGGAAGTTTCAGAATGCTCTGGCCCGGTAATCTACATTGGCTGGGTCTAGCTCGTGAAAAATACTTCCCTCCCAAGCAATTTTAAAACTACCTACACTTGTTGTCTGTGTTTTTACTGCATATGCAGTTTCTGACTCCATCTCTCTATACTTTCACTTGTTGATTTCGTTAGCATACGATTTCTTGGACACGGATAGGAACAACTTCAATGTGAGCATATGGTATAACTCTACATACAAGACCAAGTTACTAGAGAGATATGTAAAGCTTGTCCGTGTTCCTCGCTTAGTCAATTTAGTAAGAAACCAAGTTTTTTATGCAAGACATCCTCAAGCTTTTTATACCTAGGGCATGTCTCTTGATCAAACCCCATTCTTAAGACACTGCGGAAAATTTCAGGTGTCGAATGCTTATCCTCAGTATTTGCTAGGGCCAGGGACAAATTCATTATTCGAGTTTGTCAAAGAAATGTCTAAACTAGAAACTACGCTTCATGTGGACGTGGCGTCTCTTATTGGCCCCCTTTTCTTTACTTGGGTTATTCTTCTTTTATTCCCTGTAAGTTCATATTGAGTGGACTGCTTCAGTTTCTTATATCATCATATGTGTTATTTTTTAAATAGTTACATGCATTTAATTTGCAGGTGATCTTGTCATCATTGGTGTATGAGAAACAAAAGCGTCTAAGAATTATAATGAAAATGCATGGACTCGGAGATGGTCCATATTGGATGATTTCCTATGCCTATTTTCTCGCCATTTCCACGTTATACATTATATGCTTGATGATATTTGGGTCAGCAATAGGTACTGTATCGTTGCCATTTTTTATCTTCTTAATTTCTTGTACATATAGAACAAGATTCCTTCTCTAGCAGCTATAGTTCCATGCAGGACTGAAGTTCTTCCGAGTTAATGACTACATCATCCAGTTCATTTTCTATTTACTCTGCATAAATCTGCAAATCTCCATTGCTTTTTTAGTTTCTTCAGCATTTTCAAAAGTTTAGACAGCATCAGGTAGTACCAAAGTCAAAACTTTTTCAACTTTGCTTGAGAACAATATTGTTGGTGTTAAAAGAAACAGTTTCTGTTTTTGTGCCCAATAATGTAGTTGCTACTTACATATACGTCTTTGGATCTGGGCTCTTGGGCACGTTTCTCTTCCAGTTTCTGATGGAAGATTTATCGTTTCCCAGTAAGCTATCAAGAACAACTTGAACAACACGTATTCTCAAATCTGATCACAAATGCCAATATAAATCTTTACCTTTATGTTTCAGGACACTGATTTTTGTAATGGAGTTGTATCCGGGCTTCTCTTTATACTGTGGTTTGTATGAGTTTTCTGAGTATGTCAGTCAGGGTAGAAGGGATGGTATGAAGTGGAAAGATTTCAGTGCTAGTGGAATGGATGAAGTTTTCTACATTGTAATCGTCGAGTGGTTTCTCGCACTCATTTCAGCATACTATCTTGATCGAGGTTCTTTATCCGCGAAAGACTCTTTTTTCTTCTTGAAAAACCCTTTCAATAAATCTACTTCTCTACAAAGGCCTAGCCTGCAAAAACAGGGCTCTCCGTTTCCATAGAAATGGAGAAATTAGATGTCACTCAAGAGGTATGACATAAAAAGGATAAACAATATAGTAGTACAAGTTCTTTGCATGTTTCGATGAAAATGAA